TCGTGGTAGATAATGTGTGAGTTCTTGGGAGGCTCACTAAACCAATCAGTTAGATTAACTTAGCCGGAGCTTTATTATCTCTGATTGAAACTATGGGATTGTCTAGGATATACCGTCTAGACACTTGAACTGGTTTCCTGAATATTTGGTTAACTGTTGAGAAGCTGGTCTCAAATGTGACTACGTGGACCAAAGTTCGTGTTGGTCAATATACAAATACCTGGTGAGAACGCTGGTCTCACAAATAACAACAAATGACAAATAGAAAACAATGACAAATAACAACAATGACCAAAGCTCGTGTTGGTCAGTATACAAATACCTGGTGAGAACGCTGGTTGCACAAATAACAACAGTGACCAAAGCTCGTGTTGGTCAGTAAACACTACATGGTGAGAACACTGGTCTCACAAAACTGGGTTTCTATCGTGAGAAACTTACGTAATCTCAAGGGAAACACTTTCCCTGCACTTGTCTGGACAGTTCTTACAAAGGAAATGGGCTTTGTAAGCAGCAATTTGTTCAGACTGAAGCTTCTTAGGTGAGAGTTCAATTTGCTCAAGTGGGAGGTTCTTGAATGCAACAAGTGGGAGATCTATTTTTTGGGGGAGAATGGGCTCTCCTTATATACATTTGTGTGGGAATATTATGTAAGTAAAAAGGTGATGTAATGACTTCAGAATGTGAGAGGAGTATTCCAAAAACTGGAGCAGAATGTTCTAGCAGCTGCAAAAGAACATTCCAGAATATTCATGGTGGGATAATGACATCATTCTGAGTCACTCTGAGTCATTATGAGTCATTGGAATGTTCTAGCAAATTCCATGGAACATGACATCATTATGACATCACTATGATATCATATCTTTCAACAAAATACCTGCAGGAGTGTGGGTGAAGTCCTATGACATCATTATGACATCATACCCTGTAGGTACAATTTTATGAAGCATCTGATTAGTCAGAGCATCCTAATAGCAAAGTAAAGTAAAGAAACACTAGAGAAAACAACTCAGAAATAATGGAACAAATAATAGTACACAATACGCGGGCTTTTTAGATAGGTTTTTGTTAGGCTTTGAACTTTTCTCTATGGGTTTCTCTAGCCAAAGTGAATAAGCCAAAGGAAAGGCAATACCATAACCTTCAATTTGCTTCTCATATCAACTAGGTCATTATGTGATTCCCATCTCACATATGACTTTTCTTCAAAACATGGTGGATTCGTGAATCACTGAGGGAAAACTGAAACTATTGGACCAAGGTTTGATACCAAGGTATGGGTTGACTAGTCTGAGGACTAAGCTAACAGACTTTGTCTTTTAGGGGGATACCTAGTAGTCATGTCCATGCATGATTCCCAAATCATGCAGGACAACGTAAGGGTTAGATTGTGCCGAATAATAAGAGCACCATTGCTACAAGACTTATTGAGCAGTGTAGATGCATGTGTGGGTCTGCAGAGTAGAAACAGAGGTCATAAAGTGCTCTAGACATATCGGCGATCATATACTTATTAATTGTGCCATCGGTATCACTCCTGATGATGCAAAGAGATCAAAGTGACTATTACAATGGATGCATTGCATCTGACAGTCACATGTAAGCACCAAACCGTCCAATAGTCTAAGCATATTGTTTAAAACAACTCATCCACACAACAACAGCACATCTGTGTTACATGGTCAAGTCAAAGCCAAAGGCCTGGAGTCCACCAAAGACATCCTCGTTGGTTAGATGGGAGCACAAAAGAACTTCTCAAGGAGATACAGGACAATTTGTCAAAGCTCAACGTTACAACAAAACATCTTCCATTAATTCATCACCCAGGAAATCGCCTAGCAAGCAAGGATCCACAAGAGGACATCACGCCAAGGGTGACTATGAGCACCATGATCTCGGAGTAATCAACTTGGAGCCTTGTAGACTTCGCAAGTCCATGGCAAGCTCATCATTCATTCAACTGGTCTCATTTTCTGACACCGAGTATCAAGAGTCAAAATGACTATCTACATGAGTGGCAGTACAAGACCGAGGACTACTTGGACTTGCTCCTTCGGCAAGAGGGTCCACCATCCAACAGGACTTGCTCTGTCTGCCCAAAGGATGGAGTTTACAGATGTCACGGCTGTATGGGTGAGCCGCACTTCTGCACTCATTGCTATAGGACGGTTCACAGCTGCATGCCATTCCATTGGATCAGTCAATGGACTGGGGGATTCTTCGAGGACACTTCCTTGACCAAGATAGGGCTGGAAATTCACCTCGGTTGCCAGGGAAAGCCTTGCCCAGAAGTGACCGATGATTGGTACGACACAGATGATGAAGGAGACAATTTTGCTGAAGGCCAGTGGGTACCTTTGGTCAATGACTCCCGGACAACTATGGTGGTGGATACATCAGGCGTCCACTCCCTAATGATCAGATTCTGTCAGTGCGCCAGTGCACTTGGTCCCAACATGCAACTATTTGAAATTGGCCTCTTCCCAGCATCTTTCACCTCGCCGAAGACAGCATTCACATTTGCAGTGTTGGACGACTTCCTGTTGGATAACCTGGAATGTGGGACATCTGCGATGAACTACTATAGCAAATTAAGGCGAATCACTTCAAGCGTATTCCCGCATCTGGTTCCAGTAAGTGACATTGATGTGCTTGATTGCATCGCTCACAATGGCCAAAAGGACCAATACAGAGAATTGATGAGGGTGGGCAGGCAGTGGAGACAGCTGAAGCAGCTCAAGTGGCATGGGTTTGGCCATGAGAAGCAAAAGCCAAAGGCAGGGGAGCTTGCACTGTTCTGTCCTGCATGTCTGCAGCCCGGGGTAAACATCAATTTGGCAGAAAGGAATGTGTCCAATCCTGCATGGCTATATTTGATATCCTTGGTGATGGATGGCAACTTCAAGGCCGAGCATCTGTTTCCGGCGAATCCGACTGATGAGGTGGCATTGACCGATGACCTTGGATTTATGGTCGGCGATGGCCAATACAAACTGCATCTCGCCGAGGCACAGGATATTGTACATCGGTCAGACTGCAACAACCACCGAGCTGTCAATCAGGTGAACACTTCACGTCACAAGCTTGAAGCAACTGGGATTGGCAGTTGTGCATGCGCTAGACATGGGTGTTTTGTACCTCATTCAATGGTGGAATTTCAGAAGGGGGAAAGGTTTGCCGATCGATATCTTCATTTGCCCGATGTGAACTGATTTATCGGTCAGTCAAAGGCAGATGAACATGGATTATGCGCTGTGTCAAGCTCTGGGGTACAACACCGATGGGATCGACTGGGCATTGATGTTCTATGACATCAATTGTCAATACCACAAGCATCTCGACCAGCGGGTTGAGGAGTCACCTTATCTTGATCTTCCGTGGGGCATGGAGGTAATCCCTGGCATCGGTCTCTGGCATGTCCACGGCCATCAAGACAAATGCTACGTACAGTATGCATCCAACTTCATCACTGGCGCTGCCAGGATCGACAGAAAAATCATGGAGACCCTGTGGGCACCCTTGAACATCATATCACCGTCGGCGAGAGGAATGTCCACCCCCCACTGAAAGGAGTGTTTGGATTTTCAAATGAACGACTGTAATTTTATGAAGATGATACGGATGAGTGAGCCAGATCGTTTGACCAAAAGTGCAAATCTAAATACAGATAGGCAAATTCCTTTACCGAAAATTCAAGGAGGCCGTGCAGGGAGTCCGAGACAGCCAACATGCATTTGACTGATTGAGTGAGACCGCCAATCATGATACCCTTGTCAAATGGGAAGCAGAGGCTGCCACCGCTCAGGATGACTGACTCGAAAATCCCAGCGCCATGGATATATATGAAGTTAAAATGACAAAAGGTCTGTGGCAATATAATCACAATTTACTATATGCTCATGTTGATCTGCAAAGCACCAACAAGGAAACAACAAGATTTGCATCTGTTGACCTGACAGGCGAGATGGCCGGCCGGTGAGATCCATCGTGGTGCTGTGACATGGCTGGCATCTGGAATAACACTGGAGGAGGCGCAAGTTGCGCTCCTGATTGATGTGAAGAAACTTGGAAGGTGGCTGACCGATGCTCAGAAGCTGGCGATAGCTCGGCGCCGCAACAGAATGCAAGGTCAAATAGATGAATTTGTCAGGGTGGCAGTGACATTTCTCGGCGATCAACTGGATGAATATGATCAGTTGGACCTCATGATCATGATGTTGGATGCTGCAGAACTGGATTCTGCTGGGTCATCATCTGACAATCCTGATCGGCCGGACGACAAAGACCAATATGATACACCGGTCAAGTTCACTCCCGAGACCCTGGTGATTCCACTGCCCTCGAACATAGGGATTGAAAGATGCGCTGAGTGGGGCGTCGCCGACCTGGTGCTCCAAGAAATATCATTGAGAGAAGGTCAAGCTAATGACGCAGTGCATGCCATCAGGGTTAACTTGGCCAACAAGGCTGTTCTCTCCCACACCACGGTGCGGTCAGCGAAGTCACAAGCTCGGTCAACTCGTGCATGGGCCTGGGTGCACTCGGTGGACAAGATCCTTCACTTAAATGTACAGATATACTCCAAATGTTGCAGCCAACTCATTCACCTCGGCGCCAATGACTTACTGGCCAAGTTCCGGCCATTGGAGAAGGCCGACCTAAAGGCTACTACGGTGGTGGCAGACCCAAATGCTCGCAGTCAAAGGAATAGCACGTTGGCGTGGTTCTGGTCCATTGATGTTCAAGGAGATTCCACCAGCAATGACTGGATGAATGAATGTATGTATGCTCATTGCCTATGTACCTGTACCTATCCGATGTCAATATTTTTTGCACTACAGTTTACTGTGTCCATTGGCTTAGAATGCTGGCAATGCGTGATAGATGGACAGAGGAGCTCCTGCTGGTTGGTCAAAAAATGATATGGACGGTTGATTTTTTTCTTCACAAATCACAATGATGGGTCAGCCTCTTGCATTCGGCCGATGCAAACCAGAAGGTCGGTCATCGGTGCTATGTGGCCCGCCAGGCTCGAATTTATCTCCGACTCTCGCAGCAAGCCCAAGATAGCTTTGAAAGGACAAAGGGGATGGCGAGGGTGGCAGAGTGACCAGGGTCTACAGTGCCACAACCGCATTCGGGTGGTGGTAAGTGCCATAGTGGGCCACAGTGGATTAGTCAATTATATACAACCTTGTGATTCTGCATTTATTATACACAACTTGTCCTTGCTCCAACCATCATGTCCAATCCATCAAAATATAATTTGACCGAATTTACGATCTTGGATGCTACCAACATCCTAGAGTACGCCACTTCTCATTTTGTGGCCATCTGGATTGCCTGTGACCGAAGCCATGTGCCTCGGTTGCCGGCTTACATAGCAAGCTTCGTCCAGCACCTTCAATGGGAGGCAGATGTAAGTTCTTCAGCCATCGGCTGTGTCGGTCGGTCGGTGTCATGTAATAACTAATCCATCCTTCAGTCATTTGTCTTCCCATACATCAACATATGCATGGTGCTCAATACTCACCCAACCATGACCGACCTCCTCTGCAGCATCATCAGCAGATTCACCTGTCTCCAAACCAGGAACATCACCGGCAAGCAGTTCTATGCCGAATTCTTCGTGCACTGTTCCCCTCATGACCCTGAACTGAGATCTACTCACAGAGTAGTTCTTAAATATGCTCATGATTGGTGGAAGGATCATTTTGATACCTTGGGATTCGCCTTGCCGTCCTTGGATGTCAATGAAGTCTTGGATATGATGGCAGATCACTTTGAGCAACTGGTCGGTCATTTCTCTTTTATGCTCAACTGCTACTGATTCTTATTTGTAGCCTATGGGAGCAATGCTTCTGCCTGGCCCTGCAGTCGCCGGTCAAGTGGAAGGTGATCCCCTCCTCAATCAAATTCTTGCAGTGAAGGCCCATGTCCAACATCTTGGCAATTCATTAGAAAGGATGTTGCAGGAGAAGACCATGAAGGCCGCGGCAGCCGCAACAACCATGTCCAAACTTGAAGGGCCCATGGATCAGCTGGAGGAAGCGCTCTTAACCTCCTGCTGGCCATGAGTCAGCTGCTAGTTATTGCACCAGTAATATTATGTATTATACCGGAAATATGAATAGTATTACCTAATGTGATTTGGTCAGTGTGTATATGAGCCATCAGTCTCTGATTTTTCTTGTTCCCCAGTCATGACTGCAGTTCCGGCCAACTGTGCGTTGTATACCACATGCATTGCTAGTGAGTTTGTGAAATAGCTGTTTGATTGCAATGTAGCTGGCAACGCACAGTCAATCTCGCCTCCCTTGACAATTGCTGTGCCAACCATGCTTGCTTGTCAGCATCTGGCCCGGGTGCTCGCCGATGCCTATTCAAACCCAAGTAGGCCATTCCTACCATTCGCTCGGTCGTTGCCTGACCCATTTCAGTCCAACTTGATCTTGATATGATTAGGTACATTGAGGCCCTCCATGAACGCCCTACCAGGATGGTTGCAACACATGAAGATTCCCTGCTGAAAAAATTTCCTCGTGGGCCAGAACGTTTGCTGGAGAAGCCCTCGGTCATTTTGGACTCAGCCAGTCGTATTATCTTGTGGTACCTTCCAGATGTCATTAGCCCGTGGATTCAAGTGAGCTGATTATTATGACCCATCGGCTGACTGATTCGCCGACTTCACAGGCTGAGATGGAAGATGCTACAATTGGTATGGGGTCCCTTCTGATGAAAAGCATGACCAGTGGTCTGGACACCCAGTGGAGAACATTCCCTGGTAATTTTCATGCCAGCGACCGACACCAATTGACCCCAGGATGTATCAATTTAGCCCCTGGTTGGTTCATGCAAGGCCGGGAGGTCAGTCTGCTTCTCCACCAGAATGCTAATGCTTATGTAGAAATTTTAGCCACACGGATTACCACTGGCTGATGGATTCACCCCCGAGGTGTCGGCTGCCCTGAAAGGGAAAGGTGGTCCCGAGATTATAATCTCTATGCAGCGCGCAGCACTACTGGCCTCGGCTGCTCTTAGGGTGATGCATCCAAAGTTGTATTGGGCCTCGGTCACTACACATATCAAACTTGCCCGATGGGCATTTACTTTAGACATTCCTGAGCATGTATCATCAAGATACGACTTAGCGGTTCAAACTAAATACTTAACGTACCCTTTATCCTTTCTATAATTCTGTATTTTATATACCCCTATGCCAAACATATGTACACACACATTCTATGCACACTTTATTTACATCTATGTACTCAAGGCAGCGGTGCCAACCAAACCAAGTTGAACTAGTTGGAATGGATTGGTAATCAATGCACAGCAATAAGGCAGTGCTAGAAGGACCTAGAACACAGCCTTTGCTGAGTAATCTAGAACATTCTATGAGTATCTTACTAATCATTCCATAACATTCCATGACCTTCTATGACATTCTATAAGATTCTATTGTTCTTTCTCAAACATTCTGGAATATTCTATAGTATATTAGTAATCAGTAGCACAGCCACTAGTCTAGTAGTATATAAGGGGCTCATTTTCCCCTCTTGTGAAGTAATCAATTTCATTCCCAAGTATTATCAGAGTGAGATAAAGTTTATAGGGGAACACAGGGGAACATTCTTTCACCCCTAAGATTCTTAGCCCCTACTATTTGAGTGAACATTCAAGTGATTATTAGGAGAAAATATTAGTTTATTTGCTCCACACCTTTGACATTATTCTTCACACATTCTTCAGAAGTATTTGGCCACATTCTTGAGCCATCTTTGATTACATAATTATCCTTTATTCTAGTTCTCTTTTAGACACAGGAAAAGTTCTGTGGGGAGAATTATACGTATTATTCATCAATTAGGGTAGACACAAATAAGACCTACAATCTGTCAACGAATATTAAGAGCTTGCCCACTTAAGACTACATCAAGAAGGTGTACTCTATTCTGGACTGCGTCATTACTCATTGTGAGATCCTGAGCAGCAGAGAGTTGGTTTTGAGGCCACATATTGGGATGATCCCGCTAGTGAATTTGTTCTCCATTGCTGAGTATAAGTAAGATATATCCAAGAGGGATATATATTAAAGTTCAAGCTCATTGCATACAGCTGCAACATATTATTCTGAAGTTTATAGCACTACCTTGTGCTACTATTGTTTCTATCATTCTTTGCCTCTTTTACATCACTAGCGTTCGCTTGAAAAATTCAACACATCTCGTCCCCCACGAACGACCACGTTATCAACCGTTGGTAATTGTCTGAACCGTTGACCATGGAGGATTGTGAAATTTGGTGATTTTCTTGCCTTTCACATCCTAGTAAGATACCGTTTGAGGTTGCTGATGTGGTTTTGTTTAGGCAGCAGAAGCAGAACAGATTTGAACACGTCAAAGCGATCATACTCGCTGGCAGAAACTGATGAATGGGGAAAGTGACGGGTGAGGAATGTTTGAAGCGCGGGTACAAAGTCGACAGCGCCAAAAGCAGTCTGCAGACGAGATACGGACACATTCAAAAAAGGGCAGCTCTTGGCCACACAGTAGCCATGTGAGGCAAGCAGACCAGAAGGAATGAACTGAGATGATAAGAAATCATGACTCCCACCATCCAAAATGGCAACCTCATCCTCCTCCTCATCAGCCTCAAGTGTGTCTAAGTTGAGTGGGCATTTGCGTTGTGAGGCGATCCATTCGAGGTAGATTCCATGGCGAAATACGGCCTCTTGAAGTTCAAGCCAGTGAGTCATCTGGGCTATATAATCCACTTTGCTGCTTGCCTGATAGGCATCCTTCGCATAGTCGATAAGTAATCGTTCAGGGCTTTCCGAGTTGAAACCATCTGCGCTGCCCAAAGAACGGATTGCTTGGACATAGTGGCGCATGGAATGGATCTTGGGAATGTTGAAGTGTT